CACCCTCCCCTTCCCCCACAGACAAAGAGGCCAACCCAGGCCCCAATATAGGAACACCAAGGAGTCAATTTGAATCTTGGAGTGTTCGGAAATGGCCTTGGTGGCAGCCAACAAATCTGGTAAATCACGCGAATTAACTTCCTTCGCAACATGGTCTGCAAAATCGTTGCCGAGTATGGTATACAAATCATCAATGTTCACTGCATCTTCTCTTTTCCGGTGGGATTTGACCTTAACAATGTGATGATATAACGGATTCCAACCCTGCTGAAGCAACCCAACAAGATCTGCGTGAGCCATGTGGTGAACCTTGCTCGATAAGTTACCCCTGGCAATGGCGTTAACAATCTTGGTCACAAAGCTGGAATCTGTGTACACCGTCATGTAGGTGTGGGGTTGTTCGATGGAAAAATGATGTGCCAACCACGTCACCGCTGCAAGTTCACCACGGTTAATGGACTGAAACCCGCACGTATGAGACGCTTGCGCAACAATAAAGTGACTAGGAGATGGATCTGTGGACGAACGGTGGATTTGTTGTACCACTGACCACGCAGCACGACAACAATTTTGTTCGCGTGGACGGTCACATGTACCATCGGTGTAAAAGACGCAATGGTCCTGAGGAACAATGAAAGGGTGATCTAAAAACGGACCTTGACGGCAAAATTTCAAGCGGTTGTAAACGATTTGTTGAGGATGACTAGTGGCAAGCGGGAGCCACATCAAGTTGGGGTGCTCAATCAACAATTGTATGGCTTTTGGATGGCCAGTGCGGATATGTTGAAAATCAGGGCATTTGAGTAGACGATGTTCATGTGTGTCGACCTCCCCACAAAATGGGCAGTTCGGTGACGCTGTTGCGTCCCAGATGGCTTTTGTAGCTCCAGTTTGAAAGCCTCCTGTGAGATTAAGTGCGATCAAACGAAGAGTTGCATCCGACAAGTGGTGGAGGGCTTTCTGTTGAGTATACACATCAAACGACTGAAGTGTGATCCCTTTGCGGTGCTGGACTTGTTGAAAAACATAGAATGACCATGCCTGACGCAGAATCTGACGGATCTCCTTCGTGGATTGAAGTTTTAGCGAGATTTGATGACCACTAGGCATTTGGACGATACCATCGGGTTTGGGAACCCACTGGACCTTAGAGAGATAACGATATAGCGCGCCACATGGTCCATAAGGCGGTGGGTCTGAACAGACCCTTTCCCATATTTCATGAGTAAGGTGAGGGTGATAGTGAAACATACGACGTATACTGCACAGAGCTGTAGCAATAACGTACAACAATGGATCTTCAACTTGGGGACACAGCATGTGTAGGGTCAAAAACGAAGAAGCATATTTGTGCTGACCCACAAGAGCATCTGAAGCCTGACGTCTCAGGGATGTAAAGTGTGTATCCCCAATGCACTGGCTCTCGGCACCATAAAAGGCCAAAGGCCAGACAGCGGATTGAATCTTACTCGCTTTATCCCGGATGGGAATATGGAGCTTTCCTAAACGAGATAGTCTGCGGGTAGCAGCTTGCATACGGTCTTTGATACATCCAAGAAGAAGTTTTTTGGTATATTGAAGCATACACCCGAGATCCTCAGACGCGTGCTTGATTGTGATGGAATGTTGATCATGGGGAAACAAAAGTTCCGTAGATTGCCAAAATTGTCTCATCTCTTTGGAAGTTCCCCAACCCCACGATTTTTGGATGTCGACTTTCATACGCAAGGCACTGGTGAAGTTCAAGGTACTAACCAAAGCTCTAAATAATGCTCGTTGGGAGGTAGACAGAAAAGTCCAATTATCAGCATAGGTGAATGGACGTACCTGAATGTGTGTCATACGATGGAAAAAAGCAGCAGCAATGGTCAACATGGCACAAACCGAGAGGGCATCGCCTTCAGGAGCGCCTGTGGTAGAAGCCACTGCCGAACTAAAATGAGAGTGAATCTGAAGCATGCGTTTCATCTTGTTGAGTGATCGTATCCAGAGAGAAATTGCATCATCTGAAGCTCCGAAATGGATTAAGAGCTGTCGGGCAATCTGGCGGGGAATAAGATTAAAAGCCTTCGCAAGGTCGAGTGTAAATCCCCCTATTGGTCTGTTATTAGCATGGGCCTTCTCAATGAGAAATTGTTGCTGAATAGTTATATCTTTAGCAGCACGAAATGGAAGACCACCCGCAATCCCAGGATCCCACGTCTGACTCCATGCGCCCAGAAGCTGATCAGCTATTAATTTTGAAGCAAGTCGAGGCAGATAGCCAAGTATCGTAATTGGTCTACCATCAGAGAAGGTTTGAGGGCTTGTGGTCTTAGCCAAGAGAATAACCCTCGCGAGCATCTGGTTAGATGTAAAGCTTGATGGCCATATGGAATGAAAGATGCTTGCAAGGTCAGCTATAGCCTCAGGTGGCAGTAACTTCAGTTCCTGTGCCCGCCACCCGTCAATCCCAGGAGCTTTGTATGATTTCAACTTTTCAATAGAGCTAATGTCGAAATCCTGCTCGACAGTTCCGATTCACGCAGCTGCGCAGTCCACGGAACTCCTACATACATGCTGTCACCAGCTACCAAAGCTACGGCTGACAGCTTCAGAGTCTGGCACGTGCTGGTCAGCTGACTGTGAAACACTGCAAGGGTCTCAGCAGTGAGGGGTTGTCCATTGATAACGCCGATACCAATGCGCCCGTGTTCTGATGTGACCACAGTTAGTGCATTGGCAAGATCTCCCTCAGAAAGACACGCTTGTACGGTGTGTTCAAAGATTTTGTGGAGGAGGCTTCGCATAACACCAGACCTCACCACGCAAGATCCGAAGATCAAGCGGGTTCTCAGGGACTCAAATTCTCCGTGCAGCTTCTCATTGTCGTAAAAGTCCAACTTGAGGCTGCCTCGTACCACCCTGCTCAGGGCTGGTACGCTCCCTGGTTTCTCATGGTCCAACAATCTTGCAGCTCGCTCTCGACCACCACGGCGTATGCAGAAAAGTCAAGCTCCTCCTGGAGGGACTTGTCGCCCAACAGCTCGTAGGCACCACACCGTACCGCGATGCCAGTCGACGAACCTCGTTTCAACCTCAATGCACCAAAATTGAAAAAACACATGTACCAGCACCTTCAATGGGGTCACCAATGGAGGCCCTTACACTACTTAGGAATCTCCAGGACAGTGACAGTACACCACTTGGAGTATGTCCAGGTATAAACCGCAACGTCGAATCATGACTGCCAAGGCCAGGGCGGCCAGGGAATTCGGAACTGATTCAAGTTTTGGCTGTTTGGAGTGAAAAACAACACCTGGAGTGTTACAGTACCTTAGACAATGGGACAGTGACATAACCCTTAAAGAATGGGGGGTGCCTTAGATACTGGCCCCCCGTACAGGACCACTGGATTAATTTCCCTATTAATTCAGGGGGGGTTGAGTGTTTTTCCAACTATTAATCAAGCATGTGGCCCACGTCTCAGATTATTTGTATTGACATGCATCAACGTTCCACACTGTTTGCTTGGGTTGTCTTAAAAACAATCCAACGGTCCCCTCGTCACCACTGTCGGAGGAAAAGAATCCAGCAACGGGTGCTCCTGATTAAACATGCTAAGGTACCCCCCATAAAAAGAAGTACGTCATTTTCCGAGGTACTAATTGAGACTCCAGGTATATAGTAATATGTCAATACAATGTCAATACATTTGAGATGTAGAGAAATGATTTGAATTGCAGCTTCTTGGAATTGAGAGACATGGTTTCTGTCAATGCGCTTACCACAAGTACAATACATAAATATCTTACATGGAGAAGGATTGTTCGACATATACTGATCTGTCGACCCCCAATACCAACAGAGTGGCAACCAGGCAACGCCCCTCACCTCGCCGTCACGGGCAGAGGGGGAGTCATGAGCAAATGATATTGAAGATGAGTCAAATGAGGATGATCAGTGGTCTGAATGCTGCAAATGGAAGAGAGCCAGGTACACAAACCCACCATCACCTCTCTGACAACGTATCTGGTACTGCCCACAAGGTGACCACCAAACCCAGTCAAGAACGGAGACCCTCCGTGACCTCTCGCCTGGAAGACCGGTGCGAAGATTTCCTCGCCCTCGCCATACAAAAGACCGCCCGCCACCACGAAGGCTTTCCTCGCCAACCGTACGAGGCAGTGGATCCAGTGGATCATAGTGGATCCAGTTCAGCCACAGAGTGACTCTAACCAGTGGCTTCCTCAAACCGTAGACCGAACGGAACGGGCCCCCAGGTTCTTGAGAGAGTTGCCAACTGGGATCCACTGGGAAAGGCCTCTCACTGAGGATCTTCCATTGTTTTGGGTGGCAAGGTTAAAACAACTTCCTTCAGGTGCGGCATTCGGGGACTTCTGGAGACATGGGGCAGGATTAAAGAAAGAAAGGCTGTACCGGTTTGCACGCACACCAGATCTTTCCCTTTGCAGTCCCTCTCCTTCTATATTGAAACTAAAAAACGAAAACGTGTTGCCTCTCGCGTTGCAAACGAGGCTCACTTGAGAAGCCTCTCGGTTGAAGCAAGTGAAGACCAGGTCCTCCATCTCCTTCCACCTGAGCTGTGCCGGGTTGCACACGAAAGGGCAAACCGAAAGGATCCAAGAGTGGACCGGCACGACGGACCGGTTGTGGCTTTGTTCGCTGCCTGTAGCAGCTGCAGCTGCATAGTAGACCCAGGCAGCCGGTTGCAGTTGGGGTTGGTGGAGCGCTAGTTGAAACATCATTGGAAAATATAACTGGACGCGCACTCCCTGAAATCATCATGGAAGTGGATGACATCACCCAGAAAGGAATATCATGAATTCCGAATACCAAAGAGGTGGAGTTCACCATCACTAGTTCTAGGAGTGTCACTAGCAGGGAATATATGGGCGAGCCCTCACCCTGCTGAGCACCTAGGTCAAGGCCAAACGAATCCTTCCTCCGGTGCGATGAGATCTGCCAGGCCGCTGCTCGAACTTGGAGCCGGCTTTGGGAGCCCTGCGGAGGTAGTCGCTGTCCTGGAGCACAACAAACGCTGCACCGCTGCACCAAATTGACTTGAGCGGGGAAACACGAAAGGTAGAGACGGACCGAGTAGCTGTCGGGACCTTTTCTGGTGAGGGACTGTCTCCGGTGTTTCAGGAACGTGCCCCTTGGTCAATCATGGATGAAACCAACAAAGCCAGAGAGCACAAGAAGGCATAAGAAGGCTCAAGAGGAACTCCGTTGCGGTCAGATTGCGCCACACGGCTCTGCAGAGAGGCTGCGTTGCGTCGACGCTCGTTTGTGTCTAGGTGTGTGAAAACAGGCGTGCGTAAAAGTCGCAATGCGTAAACGCTCGCATGTGTACCAGCTATGGTCCCACAGCTGCACGCACTGTGTCAGGATTACAGGCCTGCACGCGTTGCGTCGAAGCCGCAGTGACTCAGTGACCAACCCCCTTGTAAGGATAGTGCTGGAGGGGTGCGGCCGGTACTGCCAGGGATGGACGTCACGCTATGGTGGGTGTGCTCCACGATGCGGCAAGATTTCGCCACGCTAGGGTATAAGGCTGAGTCAAATGGTGTTCCGCGACGCGAGGGGTTCTCCACAGGGCTTTGCAGAGAGGCTGTGTTGCATCGATGCTCGTTGGTGTCGAGCAATATGGTCTGTGAACGCAGTACGCGCTGTGTCAGGCTGCCGGGTGCGCACGCGCGGCATCGAAGCTGCATTGCGCGACCTCATTGCGCAGGGTTCGTGCTGTATTGCGCAACCTCATGGCCAGCGTCGTACTGCTGTGAGTGTTAAGCGCATGACTTCACCTTATGTCCAGAATTTAGTAGTGCTGGCGACGAGGGGAGGGGAGGGGAGTGGAGGGGGGGGGGGG